AGGTTGGTACATGGTGCAGGGTGACAGGATGAGAGGTTGGTACATGGTGCAGGGTGACAGGATGAGAGGTTGGTACATGGTGCAGGGTGACAGGATGAGAGGTTGGTACATGGTGCAGGGTGACAGGATGAGAGGTTGGTACATGGTGCAGGGTGACAGGATGAGAGGTTGGTACATGGTGCAGGGTGACAGGATGAGAGGTTGGTACATGGTGCAGGGTGACAGGATGAGAGGTTGGTACATGGTGCAGGGTGACAGGATGAGAGGTTGGTACATGGTGCAGGGTGACAGGATGAGAGGTTGGTACATGGTGCAGGGTGACAGGATGAGAGGTTGGTACATGGTGCAGGGTGACAGGATGAGAGGTTGGTACATGGTGCAGGGTGACAGGATGAGAGGTTGGTACATGGTGCAGGGTGACAGGATGAGAGGTTGGTACATGGTGCAGGGTGACAGGATGAGAGGTTGGTACATGGTGCAGGGTGACAGGATGAGAGGTTGGTACATGGTGCAGGGTGACAGGATGAGAGGTTGGTACATGGTGCAGGGTGACAGGATGAGAGGTTGGTACATGGTGCAGGGTGACAGGATGAGAGGTTGGTACATGGTGCAGGGTGACAGGATGAGAGGTTGGTACATGGTGCAGGGTGACAGGATGAGAGGTTGGTACATGGTGCAGGGTGACAGGATGAGAGGTTGGTACATGGTGCAGGGTGACAGGATGAGAGGTTGGTACATGGTGCAGGGTGACAGGATGAGAGGTTGGTACATGGTGCAGGGTGACAGGATGAGAGGTTGGTACATGGTGCAGGGTGACAGGATGAGAGGTTGGTACATGGTGCAGGGTGACAGGATGAGAGGTTGGTACATGGTGCAGGGTGACAGGATGAGAGGTTGGTACATGGTGCAGGGTGACAGGATGAGAGGTTGGTACATGGTGCAGGGTGACAGGATGAGAGGTTGGTACATGGTGCAGGGTGACAGGATGAGAGGTTGGTACATGGTGCAGGGTGACAGGATGAGAGGTTGGTACATGGTGCAGGGTGACAGGATGAGAGGTTGGTACATGGTGCAGGGTGACAGGATGAGAGGTTGGTACATGGTGCAGGGTGACAGGATGAGAGGTTGGTACATGGTGCAGGGTGACAGGATGAGAGGTTGGTACATGGTGCAGGGTGACAGGATGAGAGGTTGGTACATGGTGCAGGGTGACAGGATGAGAGGTTGGTACATGGTGCAGGGTGACAGGATGAGAGGTTGGTACATGGTGCAGGGTGACAGGATGAGAGGTTGGTACATGGTGCAGGGTGACAGGATGAGAGGTTGGTACATGGTGCAGGGTGACAGGATGAGAGGTTGGTACATGGTGCAGGGTGACAGGATGAGAGGTTGGTACATGGTGCAGGGTGACAGGATGAGAGGTTGGTACATGGTGCAGGGTGACAGGATGAGAGGTTGGTACATGGTGCAGGGTGACAGGATGAGAGGTTGGTACATGGTGCAGGGTGACAGGATGAGAGGTTGGTACATGGTGCAGGGTGACAGGATGAGAGGTTGGTACATGGTGCAGGGTGACAGGATGAGAGGTTGGTACATGGTGCAGGGTGACAGGATGAGAGGTTGGTACATGGTGCAGGGTGACAGGATGAGAGGTTGGTACATGGTGCAGGGTGACAGGATGAGAGGTTGGTACATGGTGCAGGGTGACAGGATGAGAGGTTGGTACATGGTGCAGGGTGACAGGATGAGAGGTTGGTACATGGTGCAGGGTGACAGGATGAGAGGTTGGTACATGGTGCAGGGTGACAGGATGAGAGGTTGGTACATGGTGCAGGGTGACAGGATGAGAGGTTGGTACATGGTGCAGGGTGACAGGATGAGAGGTTGGTACATGGTGCAGGGTGACAGGATGAGAGGTTGGTACATGGTGCAGGGTGACAGGATGAGAGGTTGGTACATGGTGCAGGGTGACAGGATGAGAGGTTGGTACATGGTGCAGGGTGACAGGATGAGAGGTTGGTACATGGTGCAGGGTGACAGGATGAGAGGTTGGTACATGGTGCAGGGTGACAGGATGAGAGGTTGGTACATGGTGCAGGGTGACAGGATGAGAGGTTGGTACATGGTGCAGGGTGACAGGATGAGAGGTTGGTACATGGTGCAGGGTGACAGGATGAGAGGTTGGTACATGGTGCAGGGTGACAGGATGAGAGGTTGGTACATGGTGCAGGGTGACAGGATGAGAGGTTGGTACATGGTGCAGGGTGACAGGATGAGAGGTTGGTACATGGTGCAGGGTGACAGGATGAGAGGTTGGTACATGGTGCAGGGTGACAGGATGAGAGGTTGGTACATGGTGCAGGGTGACAGGATGAGAGGTTGGTACATGGTGCAGGGTGACAGGATGAGAGGTTGGTACATGGTGCAGGGTGACAGGATGAGAGGTTGGTACATGGTGCAGGGTGACAGGATGAGAGGTTGGTACATGGTGCAGGGTGACAGGATGAGAGGTTGGTACATGGTGCAGGGTGACAGGATGAGAGGTTGGTACATGGTGCAGGGTGACAGGATGAGAGGTTGGTACATGGTGCAGGGTGACAGGATGAGAGGTTGGTACATGGTGCAGGGTGACAGGATGAGAGGTTGGTACATGGTGCAGGGTGACAGGATGAGAGGTTGGTACATGGTGCAGGGTGACAGGATGAGAGGTTGGTACATGGTGCAGGGTGACAGGATGAGAGGTTGGTACATGGTGCAGGGTGACAGGATGAGAGGTTGGTACATGGTGCAGGGTGACAGGATGAGAGGTTGGTACATGGTGCAGGGTGACAGGATGAGAGGTTGGTACATGGTGCAGGGTGACAGGATGAGAGGTTGGTACATGGTGCAGGGTGACAGGATGAGAGGTTGGTACATGGTGCAGGGTGACAGGATGAGAGGTTGGTACATGGTGCAGGGTGACAGGATGAGAGGTTGGTACATGGTGCAGGGTGACAGGATGAGAGGTTGGTACATGGTGCAGGGTGACAGGATGAGAGGTTGGTACATGGTGCAGGGTGACAGGATGAGAGGTTGGTACATGGTGCAGGGTGACAGGATGAGAGGTTGGTACATGGTGCAGGGTGACAGGATGAGAGGTTGGTACATGGTGCAGGGTGACAGGATGAGAGGTTGGTACATGGTGCAGGGTGACAGGATGAGAGGTTGGTACATGGTGCAGGGTGACAGGATGAGAGGTTGGTACATGGTGCAGGGTGACAGGATGAGAGGTTGGTACATGGTGCAGGGTGACAGGATGAGAGGTTGGTACATGGTGCAGGGTGACAGGATGAGAGGTTGGTACATGGTGCAGGGTGACAGGATGAGAGGTTGGTACATGGTGCAGGGTGACAGGATGAGAGGTTGGTACATGGTGCAGGGTGACAGGATGAGAGGTTGGTACATGGTGCAGGGTGACAGGATGAGAGGTTGGTACATGGTGCAGGGTGACAGGATGAGAGGTTGGTACATGGTGCAGGGTGACAGGATGAGAGGTTGGTACATGGTGCAGGGTGACAGGATGAGAGGTTGGTACATGGTGCAGGGTGACAGGATGAGAGGTTGGTACATGGTGCAGGGCGACATGATGAGAGGTTGGTATATGGTGCAGGGAGACATGATGAGAGGTTGGTAGATGGTGCAGGGAGACATGATGAGAGGTTGGTACATGGTGCAGGGAGACATGATGAGAGGTTGGTATATGGTGCAGGGAGACATGATGAGAGGTTGGTACATGGTGCAGGGAGACATGATGAGAGGTTGGTATATGGTGCAGGGAGACATGATGAGAGGTTGGTACATGGTGCAGGGAGACATGATGAGAGGTTGGTATATGGTGCAGGGAGACATGATGAGAGGTTGGTACATGGTGCAGGGTGACATGATGAGAGGTTGGTACATGGTGCAGGGAGACATGATGAGAGGTTGGTACATGGTGCAGGGTGACATGATGAGAGGTTGGTACATGGTGCAGGGAGACATGATGAGAGGTTGGTATATGGTGTTGGTAATTAAACAGGGTGACTCTTGTCTTCAGGGTGTGCTGACCTGGCTTGACTCACATCCCTGAGGACTGCTTCACCCCATTGCGGTAACCCACATGAAGCCCATTGGCGCCATTTATTTTGAATGGCACACCCACACACCCAGGGCCATTCCTATAGTAATTGCTTCCTGAGAAGGTGCGCTGCGGACAGGGAGTGGTCACTCACTGGTTCACTTGTCATCCATGAATGGTTAGGTGGCACCGGACCTCGCTGTCAGCGCCTCTGTCTGGCATCCCGCCCAGCTCACCGACATCACTGGTTGCCAGGAGCTCGGCGGGAAACAAGCCAGAGGGTCCCACTCACCTCTAGGCAACCAGAGAACCACACAGACCGTCACAGGTTGCTAAAAGCTCTGGGACACTTTGGCCGCCCCCCAATGAGATGCTGCCTGAGGCTACAGCCTCATTATAGGGACAGCCCTGCATGCACCTTCTCAGAGCACAAATGATGCATGCATGAGTTTTGGTCTGTTGCGGTGCAATACATTGAAATAAAAGGGCTTCCCCTAACACAATGGATTATTGCCCCCCAGCACAGCGGGCTAATAGGACTGGGATGTGTAGATCTCCCTCACCAGCCAGTCACACCAAACGTGTCAATTAGGTTTTTCAATGCAATTGTTCCACACAGATTTCAGTATTCCCCTCTCCTCCCTACACCGAACTGCACCGCCGCTGAGCCAGATCACGTCAGTGAACCAGTCCAACACAGGGTGACCCTTGCGGGCGGGTGTGGCGGTGCCCGGGAGCGCGTGGTACGGGGGCGAGGGTGGGTGTGGTCAGACGGGGCAATGTGGGGCGAGGTCGCGGGACCTTGTTGCTAGCAGCCAGGTATATATGCCGTTGCTAGGTTCCCAGTCTCCGTGGGCGGAGACCTGTGGCATGGGTGTGACCGCCCGCGACAGGTGCATCTGTGGGTGGGGCGTAGTAGAAGTGGGCGGGCGGCGACGGTGAAGTGGCTGTTCCAGCTCACCTCTGTCGCTGTCACCTGTTTCTTCCTTTTCCGCCGGAACAGAAATGGTAAGAAGAGATTTTGGGGGGTTACACAGGGTGGGGACGGGGCTGACAGTGGTATCACCTGAGCGACAGCAGGCTTTCACACGGCCATGGTGTGAGCAGTGTTACTTCGGGCAGCCGGCTCATACCGACACGGTGCCTGTTCGTTCTGGGAGGGGGAGGGGGTGACGAACACCTGTGCTGGCTGTACTGACTTCCACTGATCACGTGATGTGCCTGTGTATAGTACTGGGGGCTCCTCGCTATTGCTGGAGGGCCTACACTTCTCATCTCCAATCACAGCAGAGCGTGTCTTTATACATGATCTGTGTGATCACCAGGTTCATATTATCAGAACAGTTTGTGGGCTTCTCTTTTATTGTAATGAGATCCAATGTCTGTAGGACTGAAATCAATAGAAACCCTTCTCGGATGACATGTATTCTGATAAAGCACCGGGTGTCATAAACATTTGCCAGTTTAAAGGAATAAAATATAGTTTCCACTTTTCCATTGTCCCATGCTAGTGCTGCTGATCTCCTGCAGCCACTTCCTGCCTATGCTCCAGCAATGGCTGCATGGCATTTCTCACGCTTACAAACAGACGGCTTGTAGAGTCAGTTGTGTGACAGGGTGATAAGTTTCAATATTGCTCCTGAAATGACATCACCCAGTGCAGATGTGTAGGAGATCCCGGTGATTGTGTTCATGTCCCTTTTTAATATTGGTATATTCACAGCTTGGACACCACAATGGCACCTGGCTACCTAATGCTGCCCAGACACTGGTAATGCCGTTCATCTGACATCAGAGACTTGACCAACTTTAGGATGGAGTTTCTTAGGGCTTGTTCACACCAATTGCGGTGCGTTCCACATCCATAGCTTCTGGAACGCACAGAAATCACTCAGTATACTTCCCCATCGTCCTGGCGTGGGAGAGGATAGACACACAGACACAGGCACTGTATGGCACGCATATGTGCAGATAGACGTCCAGGCACTGTAGGGCACGCATAGACACCAGCTCTGGCTTCATTAGCATTTAAAAAATATAGTGCCTGGGTCTATCTGCACATATGCGTGCCATACAGTGCCTGGACGTCTATCTGCACATATGCGTGCCCTACAGTGCCTGGACGTCTATCTGCACATATGCGTGCCATATAGTAACTGGACGTCTATCTGCACATATGCGTGCCCTACAGTGCCTGGACGTCTATCTGCACATATGCGTGCCATACCGTGCCTGGACGTCTATCTGCACATATGCGTGCCATACCGTGCCTCGGTGTCTGCCTGCACATATGCGTGCCATACCGTGCCTCGGTGTCTGCCTGCACGTGTGTCTGCACATCTATGGCTATAACAGGTCTTCCCACTCTCCTGTTACCTATTTCATAATAGGAGATTTTACTATCTACTATAGCTCACCATCAATGATCACATCTGAACGTGGCCCACAAGCTTAGAGCTGGGGACCTGTGGCTTAGTGTTGGAGAGCTGTGGCTTAGTGTTGGAGAGCTGTGGCCTAGTGTTGGAGAGCTGTGGCCTAGTGTTGGGGACCTGTGGCTTAGTGTTGGAGAGCTGTGGCTTAGTGTTGGAGAGCTGTGGCTTAGTGTTGGAGAGCTGTGGCCTAGTGTTGGAGAGCTGTGGCCTAGTGTTGGGGACCTGTGGCTTAGTGTTGGAGAGCTGTGGCTTAGTGTTGGAGAGCTGTGGCTTAGTGTTGGAGAGCTGTGGCTTAGTGTTGGAGAGCTGTGGCTTAGTGTTGGAGAGCTGTGGCTTTGTGTTGGAGACCTGTGGCTTTGTGTTGGGGACCTGTGGCTTAGTGTTGGAGACGTGTGGCTATACACAGGCATTTGAGATGCATTTGCCCTGTGTTTGCGTTGACTTGTATGAAGAAACAAATGCAGAGCACATAGTGGTCCTGACAACGCGTGTACGATGGCAGTGCCTGCAGTGTGGAAGAGCAGAACTGTCTGTGTTCTCCCCAGGAATCTGATTCCAGCTGTCATTGTCATACCTGTGTGCTGCATGCATATAGTACATGGCTGACAATGAAAAGTGTCTCATCGGGTTTAATGTACATTGTTTTGTGGCATGGTGACATTTTAGTACGGTGTGTCCCTCGTGTCCCTTTTCTTTTTTAAGAGCAATGAAAACAGACATTACACCCCAAAGGACAAGAGTGTACACAAACGCGAAAACAGAAAACACGGCGTACAGGGGGGGGTCCACCGGAGCAGCCATCTTGATTGTATCATTACTAATAGCTCACTCTCGACTGCCCTGGGGGAACGCTGAGGAATCTCTGAACAAGTACCAAGCCGCCCAGGTAGCGACAAATTTATTTTGTGTCTTACGGAGTGAGGATGTCAGATCCTCCATCAGCCGGACCTCCTCCACTCTCTTCACCCACATCTCCACTGAGGGCGGGCGGGCCTGCCTCCACAGTGCCGGGATGCATGCCCGAGCCGCATTCAGTAGGTGGATCAGTAAGGATCTTTTGTAGATTTTCCTCGGTAACGGTGTGAGGTGGAGGAGGTATGCCGCAGGATCAAACGGGAGGGACGTAGCCGTAATCTGCTGGACAAGAGCGGCAATCTGAGACCAGAATGCAGAGACCCCTGGGCACTCCCAGAAAACGTGCAGTAGGGACCCTACCTCCCTTTCGCAGCGCCAACATGTCTCCGGGACCGCCGGGTACATGGCGTGCAAAGCCTTCGGGACCCTATACCATCGGGACAACAGTTTGTCTCGTGTCCCTTTCTAATCTGAGGGGCAGTATTGAGGAGCTCGGGAGCCCTCAGGAAATGGCTTTCATATCACAAGGTTTGCTGAAAGATTGTTGTGATAGCAGCACAAATCCCAGGAATGCGACCATTAGGCTGGCTGGTCTCTCATGGTGTACGCTGCACTGCCAGGAAGCCGGCACGCCTTCCCACATTCATTCAGAGATATTACCAGGAGTCGTAGCAACACATTTGTGTGACACTGATCTGCCATTACCTGGGAGCACACCAGGAATGTTACATCTCCTCTGGGTACCGTCATTCCAAGTCACACACAGGCAGATCTCGTGTCTAGTACAACACCAGTGTTCACTTCTCACTCTATTCCAACGCATTCCTGCGGCCCAACCCTATAATATTGGCTTTTCCGGTCATTGATCTTATATGACTGTTACAAAATGAAGCAAGAGCTGATTGAAAGCTGAACTCCCGGCAGATATGAAAGACACAATAATGCAGATCTGTAATCATTAGCACACCATGGTGACGAACGTTTACCAACGTCAGAATATTTCACGCTCATTGACAACTGCCTTATTGGTTGCCTGCATGTTGTCACCACTACCTGCGTGCCGCCTACCGGCAGATATGAAAGACACAATAATGCAGATCTGTAATCATTAGCACACCATGGTGACGAACGTTTACCAACGTCAGAATATTTCACGCTCATTGACAACTGCCTTATTGGTTGCCTGCATGTTGTCACCACTACCTGCGTGCCGCCTGCATGTTGTCACCACTACCTGCGTGCCGCCTGCATGTTGTCTTCACTACCTGCGTGTCACCTGCATGTTGTCACCCCCACCTGTCTGTCACCTACATGTTGTCACCACTACCTGCGTGTCGCCTGCATATTGTCACCACTACCTGCATGTCGTCTGCATATTGTCACCACTACCAGTGTGTGGCCTGCATATTGTCACCACTACCTGCGTGTCGCCTGCATATTGTCACCACTACCTGCATGTCGTCTGCATATTGTCACCACTACCAGTGTGTGGCCTGCATATTGTCACCACTACCTGCGTGTCGCCTGCATGTTGTCACCACTACCTGCGTGTCGCCTGCATATTGTCACCACTACCTGCGTGTCGCCTGCATATTGTCACCACTACCTGCGTGTCGCCTGCATGTTGTCACCACTACCTGCGTGTCGCCTGCATATTGTCACCACTACCTGCGTGTCGCCTGCATGTTGTCACCACTACCTGCGTGTCGCCTGCATGTTGTCACCACTACCTGCGTGTCGCCTGCATGTTGTCACCACTACCTGCGTGTCGCCTGCATGTTGTCACCACTACCTGCGTGTCGCCTGCATGTTGTCACCACTACCTGCGTGTCGCCTGCATGTTGTCACCACTACCTGCGTGTCGCCTGCATGTTGTCACCACTACCTGCGTGTCGCCTGCATGTTGTCACCACTACCTGCGTGTCGCCTGCATGTTGTCACCACTACCTGCGTGTCGCCTGCATGTTGTCACCACTACCTGCGTGTCGCCTGCATGTTGTCACCACTACCTGCGTGTCGCCTGCATGTTGTCACCACTACCTGCGTGTCGCCTGCATGTTGTCACCACTACCTGCGTGTCGCCTGCATGTTGTCACCACTACCTGCGTGTCGCCTGCATGTTGTCACCACTACCTGCGTGTCGCCTGCATGTTGTCACCACTACCTGCGTGTCGCCTGCATATTGTCACCACTACCTGCGTGTCACCTACATGTTATCACCACTACCTGCGTGTCGCCTGCATATTGTCACCACTACCTGCGTGTCACCTACATGTTATCACCACTACCTGCGTGTCGCCTGCATATTGTCACCACTACCTGCGTGTCACCTACATGTTATCACCACTACCTGTGTGTCGCCTGCATATTATCACCATTACACAGGTTGCCTATTTAGGGACCAGTTATTGTCAGGGTTGCCTTTTTTTAAATATATGGTTGCTGTGTATGTTGGGGATAGTTGCTGTGTATGTTGGGGATAGTTGCTGTGTATGTTGGGGATAGTTGCTGGGTATGTTGGGGGTAGTTGCTGTGTATGTTGGGGATGGTTGCTGTGTATGTTGGGGATGGTTGCTGTGTATGTTGGGATGGTTTGCTGTGTATGTTGGGGATGGTTTGCTGTGTATGTTGGGGATGGTTTGCTGTGTATGTTGGGGATGGTTTGCTGTGTATGTTGGGGATGGTTTGCTGTGTATGTTGGGGATGGTTTGCTGTGTATGT